TTTCTTTCTGGGATTGGACACTAATCTGGCATATCCTGCAGGGCCTCCTTGTTCCATTTGTGCTGCTATTACTGCTTTGGTAGCTTTGGGCTTTGCTTCAGACACCATCTAGGTGGGCACTGTGATAGATGACCACTTCGCCTATATTTTTCAATACACGGTCCTAATTGTGTAGTAAACTTTTGCTTTAGTGGGGGAATACCTTCTTGCGTTAAGAGAATCTTCATGCCAAACATCTGGGAAGGTGTTTCCCTTCCACCCCACTTTTTTTTTTTTAAAGAAGAGACACCCATCTCCAAAGCTAGTATTTATCATTTGAAGTTGACATTATCCTAAAGCTTACTTCTTGAATTAATTCATTGTTTAGAAACTCATGTTCGTGTCTTACCTATTTGCACCTTCATTCTCCACCTTTTCTGCGCTGTGGCTGGCTTGTTGCAGATCATTGCTGTCAAGATACAGCTATGCGCAAAACAGCCCTTTGCTTTTGAGTCCCTCCTCCAGTCCACTAGAGGTCTACAGTTCTTTGGAGGTATGAGACAGAATCTTCACATTTCCCCTGGTCGTCTAGTTCTCTCATTCTAACATGGACCAAGGACAGCTTAGTAAGTGAAACTAGTAGCATAACTTTCAAATACTTTTATTGGATCTCGGTGATAAGTGAAAGCAGAGTATCAATTCAGGTAACCAAAGGGTTGGCTTTAAATTTTGTCTTCTGTTGAGTATGCCAATATACAATGTAGCTTGGTTCTAAAAGACTTTTATTTCAGGTTGATTATCATTGGTATGATGCACAGGTTATATTAACATCCTTCCCTTTGTGGAAACTAGTTGTGGTTATGAAGAATGAAATCATAATCATGCTAAGGAGAAGCCTAAGTGTGACACACACACAGCACCTCTGCCATGCCTGCCTGTGAGATGATATTCTGAGCCCATGGTGTTCCTGAGTATGTGAGTATAATCAAGGGGAAAAGCTACTTGATTTAAATTAAAGCTTTGGAATTTAAAGCTTAATTTGGGCTCTTGGTTAAAGTTTCCATTTATCAAATGGAAACAGTTGAAAAAGACAGTTGATTTGTTCACGTGTACTCTAATGTTGAAATGAATCCAATCAGTGGTTCCATAAGTTTATCATGCTAACACTTGGTTTTAGGACTGTGAATTAGAAACAGGGAGTAGTAATTGGAGGTGGGCTGCACCTGTGTAATAGATGGCATTTGAGGTGTGCGTTAGAGAAAAGGTTGATTTTGAGCCAGGAGTAAAGGAGGACACTGTTTCAAACTGAGCAGTCCAGGGGACAGAAGGACTGGAATGGAGTATGTGGAAAGGATCCTAGGAAATTAAGTGATTTACCTGAAGTCTGATAGCAAGGCAGTGGTACAGCTAGGATGAGAAGCCATGTCAGTCCTGATTTAGTGGTCTTTCCTCTAGACTGTTCCTTCCCACCTCCCTGGCATAGCTTACTGGAGAGATTTGAGGAGAGAAAAGACAGCTGGTTCATTAGGCTGCCTGATTCATAGTGGGTTCAAAGGAATCTCACTGGGTGATTTTCAGGGGTAGGAGAGTGGCTCAGGCAAATCTTACCTCACCAAGTCACCGAACTGCAAGGAAGTCATCGTGTTGATTTATAAAAATAGACAAATATTCAATAATCAGGTGCCTGAGAGGCACCAAGAATCAAGACCTCAATAATAAAACTGGTCAATACTTAGGAGCATTTTCTATGTACAAGGCATAGTTCTAAGTGCTTTACATGAGCATTAATGTACACATAACATTTCATCATCATAACCCCATGATTATTGTTACATTTTGCAGATGCAAAATGAGGCACAGAGAGGTTGTTCCATAGTGGTAGGTAGGACCTAGATCCAAACCCCCTCAGTCTGATTCCAGATGCTACACTTTTAACCACTGTGTTATACTACCTCTTAACAGTCGTGAGTTGTACAAGGTCTGGCCCTCACGCAGCAATACAATCAGCAGCTACAGATAATGCTGGATAGTTGAAACATGGGGGATTGTGGCTGCACAGAGAAATAGGATTTAATAAAGCAGTGGGAATCAGGGGAGAATAAGCAATTAGCCAGAAGAGACCAGCTGGGATGATAAAGAGAGGAATATTTCTAGACAGAAATTTACATTTAGAAATGCCTGAGATAGTAAACTAATGAGGTTTTAGAAGCACTTGAAGTTCAATAGGGGAAAGAAGGTGAGTGAGACTTCTGGTTTCCCATAATAATGGACTGCTATTTTTCTAACTCTCCTGCTGAAAATAGCCAAAACTTCTAGATAAAATATAAGCAACATTTCTTAAAGCATCTAAGAACTGAAAAATCTGTAAAAAAGTTACCAGGCTAAAAGTGAAGGTAAACAAGAATCCAGTGAGAAATGGAGCATAGATGCCTAGAAACCACATTTGATCTAAAGGGAAACCCATATTTGATTGTAGTAAATCAGAACTCACCCTATGTTGAATGGGACAGAAAAAAAAAACCCAGGGCCCAAAATAATAGGTAGATTAATAGAAGATGTTTCCCACAAAAAGCTGGCATGCCAAAGGGCTATACTTTTCGGGATAAAAGAGTGGATCAGAAATAGAATTCTCAGGGATTTGCAGCCTAGAAGCTCAGGAAAACAAGCCTTGAACTTTTTTAGATGACCTTGTACTGTAAGTGCTTCCAGGTGTCTGATAGAAATAAATTACTCTTGAAGGGACTTATTATCTCCCCTCCAGTTTTTTCCACTTTTTTTTCTGCAATGACAAAATTATTTTTTTTAAAAGCACACAAGAAAAGGCACTATAGTGAGAACCAACAGAAATAACAGATTAATAAGAACTGATTCTCAAAAACCAGATACTTGAATTGTAAGATGCTATAAAATGTTCATGGTTACTGTTTTCAAAGAAATAAATTACAAACTTGAAAATTCCCACTGAACAAGAAATGGCAACAAGTGAAATCGGAGTTATTTAAAAAGACCCCCAACTAGAACTTGTAGAAATGAAAAATACAGTAACTGTAAACTCATCAATGGATGACTTTAACACTTTAACAGAAGCTTCAGGGAGAATTTGTGAACCGGAAGATAGGTCAAAAGCAATTAGCCTTGCACATAAATTTAACAACTTAAATGAAAGAGATCAATTTCTCAAAAATCATAAACTACCAAAATTCAATGTATATTAGATTGTCTGAATAGTTCTATAGCTGTTATTGAATTTGTAATTGAAAAGCTTCTGAAAATAAATATCTAGGATGGTTTTACTGAAGAATTCTACCAAACATTTCAAGAAACATTAGCACCATTTTATACCATCTCTTCCAGAAATGGGAAAAGCAGGGAACTCATCCTAATTCATTTTATGAGGCCAATATTATTTTGGTACTAAAACCAGACAGGACAGGGTGAAAAAAGAAAACTACAGTGTGTAAAACTATGAATTTGGCCACAAATTCCTCAATAAAATATTAGCAAATTGAATACAGTACTATATAACAAGAATTACACAGCATGGCCAAGTGGAGTTTATTCCAGATATACAAGGCTGGTTCAACACTTGGAAGTGAATCTGTGTAATCCACATAACAAGAGGCTGAAGAAAAAAATGTATTATCGTATCAATTGATGCAATTGAGAAAAGGCATTTGAAAAAATTCACCATTCATGGTAAAAACTGCCAGTATACCAGGAATAGAGAGGAACTTCAACTTGATAAAGAGCATCTACAAAAACCATACAGCTAACATCAAACTTAATGGTGAGAAACTTAATACTTTCTTCCTAAAATAGGGAACAACTTAAGGATGTTCTCTCTGACTACTCTTATTTAACATAGAACTGGAAGTCCTAGCCAGCACAATATGGAAGAAAAGGAAATAAAAAGCATACAGATTGTAAAGGAAAACATAACCCCCTATTTGTAGATGAAATGATTGTGTAAAAATCCCAAGGTATCTACAAACCATGCGGAATGTAGCAGAGAGACAAAAAGGTGGAGAGAATTGATTGGGAAAAAATTAAGAATTGTTTAATCTGAGTTTCAGAAAGAGGGAGAAAATGACACAGAAGCATAGCTGAAGAAAAACAGATGATGATTTCCCAGAATTGATGTAAGATACCAATCCACAGATATTGGAATCCAGACTTTAAAGCAAGGAACCAAAAAAGAAAAGAAAAGAAAAAAATCCTATCCCTGAGAGTGAAATCACAGAGCCTTGAAAAATGGAGGTAGCCCGAGGCAGAGAAGTAAGCGTGGGGCAAGTGAGAACAAAGTTAACAGCATTGAACTTAATGAAAAAAGTTTATATACATAGTCCTTAACACTTGCAAAGCAGCTACATCAAGTGATTTACTCTTAATTCAGCAATTGTATTAGGTAGGCACTATTATCACCTCCGTTTTACAGATGTAGAAGTTGATACAAGTGAAATTTAGTTACTTGTTCCAAGTGCCGTTTATCGATTAATGGTAACAGTAGAATTTTGAGCAAGGGCAATGGAAGTCATTAAAAAGTTTTAACCAGAGGAGTGGCACTACATGTTTTCCAAAAACAAATCATCCAGGCACCACCGTGGAAAATTGATTAAAGGGAGCTGACGGAGCAAAACAGGAGGCTGTTGCAACAATGTAGCCAAAAACAGGGAGGGCCAGGTAGAATGAAGGCGGCGGCAGGGAAAAGCAGACGGATTTGCGGGCTCTGCCGGAAATGTCCACAGGACTTGGTTTGGATTAAGGGGGTGAAGGAGAAGAGGATACTCAGGTTTCTGACTTGGGCAGTTCGGTGGACAGGGAAAGTCATTCACTGAGGTGACTTTAGAAGTGTGTTTTTGGACACGGTGGACCTGTGGTGTACGTAAAGCCCAACCGGCCGCCCAGGGTAGTAACGCGACTAGGTCCAAGAGGTGAGCCCGGTAACGCTCAGCCCGCTGCCCAGATAGCGGCGCGTGCCTCCGTAAACGCGCGCGCAGGCGCAGTGCTACGCGGGCGCCCCCTGGCGGGCGGCAGCGCGGAGGAACCGTCTTAAGCCGGGCGCTGCCGCCGCCCGCCTCAGCCCAACATGGCGATGCATAACAAGGCGGCGCCGCCGCAGATCCCGGACACCCGGCGGGAGCTGGCAGAGCTCGTGAAGCGGAAGCAGGAGCTGGCGGTGAGGGGCAGGCACCGGGAGCGGCCGGGTGGGGGGCCCCAGGTCGTTACTCCGCGGGCTCAACGGGTCCGGCGGCGGCCGAGGGTCCGGCGGCTTGAGGCCAGGCTGCGCCTTCCGCGGCCTGCCGGCGTCTCGGCTTCCCGGCTGTGCGGATCCGGAGCCCGGAGCCGCGGCCGGGGTGCGGGGCGCGAAGCCGGAGACGGGGAAGAAGACGAGGGGGGCGAGGGGCGTGTGGGAAGGATGGCGCCCGGGGTGCGGGGCGTCTGTGTGGGACCCCTCGGAAGGCGAGTGACCGCGGCCTTGCGGGGAGGCGGGTGAGGGCGGGCGTGTCGGTGATCTTGGAGCGGTGGGGGCGGGCGTGTCGGCGGTCGGTGGGAGACTGGTTCGGGCTCGCCCTCGGGCTTTGAGGGGCTGGGGTCGGAGGCGGGTGCGGGAGGGACACGCAGCCATCCTGGCTGAGCTTTGGAGGATGGAGGGGGCGCGTGTCCTTTTGGGAGCGGAGATCCGTTGAATACGGTTTTAATGTGCAGGGTTGTGATGTGTTTGGGAACGTCGAGGAGGTGACAGGCGAGGGGAGAGGCCTCAGTCTAGAGAATTGTGACAGGCACCCAGAGCCCCATGCACCCAGGGGGGCTAACGCTCCCTCCCCCTGCGTTTTGGCTTAGGCACCGGGGAGGCTTGTCTCACCTGAAGCTGTCCTTCTAGGTTTCCATAGCAACTGGCAGCCCAGGGCCTCCCTTTCTGAGCCTGTCGGGAGGGAAGCGAGTTGGCGCTGGAAGGCTGCTCGTGTTCATTTCACCCTTCCCTCTCCTCGATAGTAGGGCCTTTTTATGCGTGGGCGGAGGGAGGGAGGGCTGCTCACCTTCTGCCTAAGCCGCGGTTCTTGACAAAGGGATTCTATGAACCCTCTGAATTATATGCAAAATTTTGCATGTGTGTACATTTTTCTGGGGACAGACTCTATACATTACATTCTGTTCTCAAAGGGATTTAACAAGACAGGTCTAGACTATCTAGTCCGAAACAGCCTTCCTCTATCTTACATCTCTCCACAAGGGTGGTAATAGTGTTGAACTTGAGTTTTTTAGTATCAAGAGTTCAGTTTGGTCAGACCTAATGTTTTCATTTAAAAGACATTATTTCCTTCTTTTTTTTTTTTTTATCTCTCAGGAAACACTGGCAAACTTGGAGAGACAGATCTATGCTTTTGAAGGAAGCTACCTAGAAGACACTCAGATGTATGGCAATATTATTCGTGGCTGGGATCGCTATCTGACCAACCAAAAGTGAGCGTCAAAAGCCTGTAGTGTTTGCATTGTACCCCCCCTACCCCCCATCCCCCCACCCCCCAATATTTGGTAGCAACTTTACAGGGAAATGGTAGTAAAGTCATGGTGTGGAAAGCAGTCTGGGTTTGAACTTGGACTCTGGCTCAGCCTCTGCTCACTGAGTAATCTTGGACAAATCCTTCATCTGTAACATAGGGAAAGTCAAGCTTATCGAACGGGGTTGTGTGAGGCTTAAATAATTCACCGTATGACAGTACCTTGTGTAATAGTACTCTTCCTGTTTTCCACATTTTAATCAGTCATGAGTTCCACCTCACAGTATTTGCCATACCCTGTGTGCCAACTGTACCACAATTTATTTAGGACTGCTATCCTTGAAAACTTAACAAACTTTTTGAAAATCTTCCAGTCTGTAGGAAAATTAAGAGAACAGCACATGTACACTTGCTACCCTTCACCTGTGTTCACCAATTGTTAACATGTTGTCACATGTTAACTTTTTCTTTCCCTCTTTTCTGTATCTCTCCCCTTTAATATGCACATACACAAACCCTTTTCTGTGGTGAAGTTGTTTTTGACATTGTCTTGTAGAATATCCCAATTCTGTATTTCTCTTTTTGTGACCAGGTGAGAGAGCCTTTAAATGCTCTTGGCAAAAGTGTTGCAGAAGTGGTTCGTGTTCTCTTGTTTACCTCTATTTTATCAGGAGGCACATGATGTCATATTGTCCAATTATGGTTGCTGCTAAGTTTGATCATCGGATTTCTCCATTGTAAAAGTTCATTTTTTCTCTTTGCAATTAAGAGTAGTTTGGGAATTTAGTACTTTTAGACATTGTGAATATACTGCTATCCCAAATTTTTATTCAGTAGTTTTAATATCTGTTGTTGATTCTTGTCTGAATCATTTATTGTACTGGAGGTTGGAAAATGGTGATTCTAATTTTACTATTCGTTTTACATTTATTACTGGCATTCTTAAGAGTTTTACCCATTTAATTTTCTTTCTGTTTCATTCTGTCTCTCTTTAGCATTACTACAGGCTCATGGTGTGTTGGGATCTAGTACTGCCACTTTTTTATTATAAAGGTCTATTCTGTTTTTTAGTGTAAATTGATTTATTGAAATATACTCACAGGAAATGCACAGATCATAAATATACAGCTCAGTGATTTTTCACAAAGTGAACGCACTCATCATTATCCTTTTTAATGTTTAGTTTGTTTCAAACGTGGCCAGTGGGAGCCTCCTCAGACTGATTCCTTTGCCCTTTTGACAGGACCCTTTTAGTCTTTGAGCACTTTGCTTTCTGTCCCAATAAGATGTCTCAGACTCACCTTGTCGTTTTCTTGTCCCAGATCTGATATCAGCCATTTCTCTAAGGAACTCTGGTTCTTTAAATTTTTTAAATTGTTTAATCTGAGTTAAACATTTTTAATTGTTATGATTGTTTAATCTGGTAAATAGAAACACTTCATATCACTAGTCTTTGCTGGTTGTTTTTAAAAATATGCATTAAAATAAATACATATGGGAATGGAAATGATTGTGAACCACTAAAGTAATGTTTCACAACTGAGCACCTTCCATATGTTGAAAAACATCATTGTCTATATATAGGCAGTTAGCATGACGGTCACTCTGTTCAAGTGGTGTGGAGGCATTTCTGTATTTAGTAATTTAAAAAAAAAGGTTCCTTTTGTCTGTCCTGGGACATCCTCAGCTTGAGCTATAGACATAGCTCTGTGCTTACAATGAGCTTCTTCTGTGTGTTATAGAAACTCTAATAGCAAAAATGATCGAAGGAACCGGAAGTTTAAGGAAGCTGAGCGGCTCTTCAGTAAATCCTCGGTTACTTCAGCAGCTGTAAGTGAGGTGGGGGGTCTTTTCTGTGGCCCATTGTTGAGCAAGGCCTCAGTTAAATGTCTGTGAGTTTCGTCTTTTCCTTCTGTCTGTGAGTGCTCTCCTGAGGCCTGAGATAATTTTTGTAGTAATTATAGTAATAATTACTGTGGTAGATAATTTTGTGGTTCTTTTTTTTTAGGCAGTAAGTGCATTGGCAGGAGTTCAGGACCAGCTCATTGAAAAAAGTAAGCTAATTTTGTTACTTTTTCATCAATTTATTTTTAAACTACCGTAATCCCTGTTCAGACCTCGTATAACTGTGTCCAAATGTGTAAGCAAAGATTGCATCTCCTATACTCTTGCCTTGTCTTTCTAGAAGTTAGGTACCCTTTTGGGTATCCCTAAGCATGTCTTTGCTTTGAGGAAAAAGCTATCATGTCCTTCCTGCCTCTTCCTGCCACACGAAGGTTGACTTTAGCTGCTCAGAGACACAAAGATAGTCTTCGCTTCTGATAAGTCTTAGAGAGTTTTTTAAGTTCAAAATAACCCCAAAACCAAAACCAAGGCTTTATCATGGAAAATTGAGACATAGCTAATAACCCCCACCCCTCTTAGGGAAATCTGATCCTATAAATGAAATGTATCTATGTGTTCTTAAATATACAATGGAGAGTAGATAGTATTTACTTTGTTAAATAATTGTATCAGTCTCTGTAAGTAAGCCACACAGTCTAATTCTCTTCTGAGTTCCAGTGATGGGATATAGATCTGAATGTTTAGCTTTCTGAAGTGGGCTCAGTGTAGCTCTGTTGAATACCCTCCTTGTGTGGAATGCATTGCATTAATTACTTTGAAATACAACCTGCTTTTTTGTAGTGTGTCTGTGTACTTCTTTCAGATGGTATATCTTGTGGGATCCAGTTCTTTTGTTTGCACCAGGGCAATGGTTTGAGGAAGAAGGATTTTGGTAGTTTGGGAATTAGAACTACTTAGTGACTTCCATTATTCTCTCTGTGTTCAGATTTCTAAACTTTTAGCTCTATTGCTAACCTTTGTCCTGAGCTGTAGTCATGCATTTCTAGGAAATTCTAGAAAATGTCTTCTAGATATTTTTACTTTGATATTTAAACTCAGACATTTTGTCTAAAATTAACTGTTCTATTTCCTACAAAACATATCTGCCCAATTTTTCTGTTATAGTACTTCTATTCTCTCTCATTTAAAACTTCACAGGCATCTTTTGACTCCTTTCTGTAAGCTTGGTCAATTGTACCAAGTCCCTTTGATTTCTTTTTCTCTATGTATGTCAGTTAAATCTCATTTCTTTTCAGTTAATGCCACTTCTAGAATGTGGAGCCATTATCTTCTGCTTTTTAGAATAACAAAACTGGTTAAGGAACATTCTGGAACCCACTTTTGACTTGAGATAGAATGATGTCTGACTGCTCAGTTTTTACAAGAGCCTATAATCCTGCACCTGGGAGAGTGGAGAGTTCAGCATTTGACTCTAGTTAACTACCCACATAGAATAGCTGCCCCTTGGCACTTGTCAGGAAAAGATTCTTAAAGCCACTGCTTTCAGAAGCTTGACTGAGACAAACATATTAAAGATTCTCTGAAGCGTATGTACGCTACCCGTTTTCCTAAGATCTTCCCCTGAATTGAGCCACCCCTGTAATGCATTGTATTGGTACTCCTTGATTTTTCCTGCAAAGTTGCATTTGATGAATAATGCTTTGGTCCTATTAAATGTGTCACCGTATTTATTGTGAGAGTATGTTCCAAATGTTATGATCATTACTGCTTTCTCTTTAGGAATAGTGATTTTTCCTGAACAACTGGTTGGTTTTTACCTAAAATCTTGTGATGGATTATTTCTTTGTTATAGGTACTAAAATGTTTAAAACCAGATTTGTGGTTCTCTAGAAAGCATATAGGAATTTACAGCATACATTTTGGGAATGAATCTTAGTACTGCATTCAGCTTATGTAACCCTTCTAATCCTCTTTTGTTCTGCTTATCTCATTTTGAATTTATTTTATTGGATTTCATTATATGAATCTTAGTAAATTACCTTAAATTCTTTTTGGAATAAAGCAAAGTATAGAGAATTGCATCAATAGTGGGAGTTCATTGATTCAAATAGTCAGAGCACCTTTAAAGTAATTCTGTTGTATCTCAGTACCTCCATCATCACCACTTACACTGCTATATTTTAAGATTTTATTTTCATCTCGATTTTCTGCAATAAACTACTATGTGTCGTAAGTATGAATTTCTTTTTATTTGTTTGGCTTGGGGTTTTTTGGCCTTCTGGAAACTGATTTGGTTTTTTTCACCAATTCTGGAAAATTCCCAGCTATTACCTTATCGGATACTGTTTTTACTCCATACTGTCTCTCCTCACCTTTTAGTACTCAGATTAAATGTATGTTAAACTTTCCCATTTAATCCCTTATGTGTCTTACTATCTTTTTCATACCTTCTATCCTTTTGCCTCTGCTTTGCCTACCAGTTCACTAATTCTCTTTTCAGTTGGGTCTGACTTGCTGTTTAACCTCCCTTTATTTTTAAATCTTTTATTACTTCTTAATTTCCAGAAATTCCACTTATTTCTAAAATCTGCTATGTAATTTTTCAGTAGTTTTCTCTTTGTCAAACTTGTGTTTTACTTCTTTAAGCAGAATAAGCCTAGTTGTTTTGTAGTCTGTGTTTAATTTTAATCTCTGAAGCCTTTAAGAACCAGTTTCTGTTGTCTGGTGCTTTGACTGGTTATTACTCATAAAGTCTAATTTCCCTTTGTGCTTAGTTATCTTTGTTTACCACTCATTGTACATTGTAATTAAAAGTATTTGTAGAATAATTTGAGGGCTAGGATGCAGGTATTGTCTTCCAGAGAAGACTTTATGTTTGCTTCTGCTAGGTGCTCAGGCCTCTAAACTTAGTTCAAGACTTGAGGTGCCCTGGAATTCCCAGGTTATTTAAACCAAGCTTTACTTCCATGAGAGGAATGGTCTACTTTGCCTTTCACTCTTTTTCCTTATTACAGAATCTCTTCAATGTCTCAGAATTTCTGTATAACAAATCTTTTCAGAGTCACTTCTGTGTTTTTGATCTTTGATGACGATGAAGTAAACATTCTGTTAGAATTTTGAGTTGCATATTCTCGAGGATTTTGGAGTTTTGCACTTCGGTCACTTTTTCCCAAACTATTCTGAAAATTTACCTGAAAAATGCATTACTTTCTGGTTCCTTTGGCTTCTTATATACCTAAATAATAATAATAAAGTGGATTAGGATGGTCCCCAAAGGGGAATTTTATGCAAAGTAGTTTATCATTGAGTATTTTCATAAAAAGAGTAAAGTAAATGAAAAACAGGCAAATTTTATCCACTTTCCTTTAAAGGGTCAGCACAGTCTGTGTGTTTGTTTTACTGGACTTCTGTGAACCCTTCACCAAACCAACTCTCTCTTCAGTGCTCATGTCACTGCAGTGGGTAAGAGGCCAACTGCGTGGAGAGGTTTTCCGCTGTCTCCCTTTCCTCCTCTCAAGCTTTTGTGCTGATTATTGGGATTATTCAGTATCTATTCCTTTCTTTTAATAAGTAGAGCATCTCCTTTGTAGGTTTATTAAATTTAAATAAAATCTGGCATTCTTTATCTTTTATGTCAGAGGCAAGAAACTTAGGTGTCTTTTCATGGTGGCAGCATTGTATGAGTGACCGCCTTGCGGCTGCACTGTGAAGTGATGTGACCCAGCCTTTCTGCTCTCACTCCTCTTCTTCTGCCATGAGCCAAACAAGAAAATTGTTCTTACTTTGTGGTCTTGCTTGTTTAGTCTCGTCTTCCTTGCTCTAGTCCCTCTTGTAAACCACTTCTGGCCTGATAAGCCTAAAACATGGGTTTGTACAGAGAACTTAGTAAATATTTATTGTTTGATGTCACTTCTCTGTTCGGAAATTCTTGATGACTTCACCTTATGACCTGCTAGCAACTGTTCTATTGCAGATAGTCTTTACTATTTGTTTAGAATTTGACTTGCATGTTTGAAGATTTCAAGGATATTGAAGTTTGAACATTTACTATGTTCCAGACACCAAACAAATACTTGCATTATTTTATTAAATCCTTAAAGTTACTCCTTGAAGATAGGTAGAGATTATAATAAGCTCCTTAAAAGTAGGGAACATTGCTGTAGCTCCAGCATCTGACCCAATGCCTTATTCATAAGAATCCCTAGTTTACAGGTGGAGAAACAGGCTCATGTTAAGCAACAAGTCAGCTCTCTTAACCATCACCTCATACTCTCTCTCTTGATAGAAACCCTCAGTCTGACACTGATGACTCCTCTTAGTTTGCTACTCCATTTCACCTCTCATTTCTCAGGCTCTCTGTCTGAGATGTTTGTTTCATTTGTCTTAAATATCCCTTGTGTTTCCTCACCTCTACACTTTCGCTCATACTCTCATTTGTGCTAATTTTGGCTTCTCATTTTTCTCATTTTTTAAGGTCAGGTTTAAATTCTATTCCCTCAGTAAGGCTTTTTCTGAGTAATCCACTCTATCTTCTCTGACTCCCCTGATACTTAATATCCATATCAGTCCTTGGGCTGCTACATCTGTTATTGCCTGGATGTTACCTCTTCAGAGAGGTTACACAGGTAGATTCTCCATTCATAGGGCTTTGATCAATTTATACTGTTTTGTATATGTTTGCACAGGTGCTTAGACACATACACTGCCTTATACAATGTGACTAACTCATTCATTTACTCAATACTTCCGTATCAGCTGGCCCCAAATGAATAAAAAGTTGGTTTTTCTGATCAACATCTTTTAATAGAATTGTACCATAAAATTTGCTGTATCTAACTTGCTTTTCTTGTCTTCCACCTTTTTAGGTAACCCCTCTCTGTGTTCAGCCCCTACACAGTTAGTCTGTGCCCCTTCTGTCATCCTGTATCTGATGCAAAGTTTTTGTGACTTCATGCTCCACCAGGCTGTTTCCTCCATAGCCAGGGCCTCTGCAATTTGCATATTCAGAGATGACATTTTTTACCTAAATAAAAATAGGACTGGGTATGGGAGAGGAAGGCTGTCCTGACCATACTTCTGCATCTTAGATTCTTCTTTTTATATTTCATTTTATGTTTTTTTAAA